TGAAACAATCAGCAACCTCACGGAGCAGAACTCAGTATCCATCGCTGTGGCAGACATTCAAGAATAAGTCTCAAGTATCAAAAACTGACAGCTCCAGGGCCTGACATGATCCACGCCTACTGGCTTGAAAAGCTCACTGCACTCCATGGGCGCCTGACAGCACAAATGAACCAGCTGCTAAAGGATGGGACTCACGATGGCTAACTGAAGGGCAAACACTCCTGGGGTCTCATTTATAAAACATTGAGTGGAATTCTTACTAAAACCATACTTAAGCTCAGCAAAAAAAAAAAAAAAAAAGTACTTATGCCAAGTAAATTTGTGACCTATAAAACATGGAGTATGTACAGCTTCACGCAATCTCAACTTTGTAAATCACACTAGGGCTGGGCGATATATTGATATTTTTAAAATATTGGTATAATTTTTCTATAAGATATAAGGTGACTGTATATCTTTCTATCGATATAACTTGTCAAACTGCTATGCTAGCGACATGTTGCTCCGTCTCTAAGCAGCTATTACGTGTATTCTCACAAGTTTGCTCAATCTGAGAGCCTCTGGGTAAATTTGCTACTCGAAACTTTGCATTTGGCGTCCTGGATTTTAATTATTTTTGGGACGTTCAACGCCAATGGAGTTCTGTTTATCCATCTTGCTTGTGCGGAGACAAGCCAAACCCCTCCCTCCCCTGTGTAATCAGGAAACATCTATGGATAGCCGGAGTGGCCAAATTACCTCAGGGTTAGAATAGTAAACTATAGAGTTACCATTTTATTTTGAAGGCGAGCTCCACGGGTGAGAAATGTTGTTCCGGTTCCGTTTTTTTCTGCTCTGGTTAGCTATGCTAGTAAATACTCTGTTAAGAGCGATTCTGTTGAAAAAGTTAAGAGTTTGTAAGGCGTGGGTTAGGGCGACAGTAGCCCGAAAATAATACTCATAAAAGAGCAACCAGAGACTGAGTCATTACAGTATAATAGCTGAGCCAATACTGTTAGACTCCAGCCATGTTTGCCCTGATAACTAATAATTCCACAACCCATGTGATCTTCAGTAGATGCAATTACATCATCATAAATTTAGTTTAACATGTTTTATTCTCTGGACAAGAAATAAACGATATGGCCACCTCTAGATGAAATTTAAATAATTTTACATTATTTATAAATATATAAATAAAAAGTGCCTGTGGGACATTTGATACACCTCTAGGTCTCAACTGTGTGTGTGTGTGTGTGTGTGTGTGTGTGTGTGTGTGTGTGTGTGTGTGTGTGTGTGTGTGTGTGTGTGTGTGTGTGTGTGTTTTAACAGACAGCTGTACCAGTGTTTCTAAAGCTCAGACTGGTAGAGAATATGCACTAAGGTTATAGTTTGACTAGAATCAATACATTTTTATGCATTTAATCTACTAGTTTATGTATATAATTTCTCAAGACAGCTTGAAGTGAGTTAACTTGTAATTATTTTACAGGAGGAAAAATATCGAAATATATATCGTATATTGGAATTCAGCTAAAAAATATCAAGATATAAGTTTTCGTCCATATCGCCCAGCCCTAAATCACACTTTACCTAGAACTGGGGCTCAGGTGTTTCTGGATCACATCCCGCCCTCAACACGCCCACTTTCTGCCATAAATGGTCAATGCAAAGTGCCTTGTGGATCTCATGCACATACATAAGCTGGCTTGTTGCAGCAGTCCACCATTAACGATGGCGACCGCAGATCAAGAAAGTGCAATTTCACCGAAGCAGAAATGGAGGTACTTGTGGGTGAGGTGGAAAAATGAAAGGAAGTGCTTTTGCAAAACAAATAAAAGAAAATCCACAAAGTGGCACAGCTTTGCTGAAGCTGTCAATGCTGTGACTTCTTCAGAAAGATCTGTGGCGGATATAAAAAAAATGGCCCAATCTAAAGGTGGAGGCAAAAAAAAAATGGCTTGCCACCACCAGAGTGTGTCTGCCACTGGCGGAGGCCCTGGCACCTCTGATCCCCCGTACTCGAACCGACAAGTGTGCATGGCGTCGTGCCGGACAATGAGGGAGTCACTGACCGCAGAGGAGACTGGTAACTAGAGCTGTAGCGAAGCGTCGACTGCGTTGACAGCTCGATTCTAAAAATTTGTCAACGTCAGATCCGGTAGTCGACGCACCACGCCCACTTGTTGCGTCCCCGGGAGTTTATAAATAGATGAGGAATCTTGTCTGTTCTTCCTCTAGTTCACCCTCCTCTCCGCCTTCACTAACATCTCTGCCAAATACCGAAGAACCAGATCAATGTCCGTCCGCTACTAGATTCCTTTCTTGTTTTGCCCGCCTTCGTCTCCCGGCAACGGACAACAACTTCCGCTGTCAAATGCGCTGCTTCGTCTCTACCGCAGATGTATAAAATCATCGGGAGCGTTTCTCCCTTCATAAAGGAGCTTCTTTCAGACATTAGGAGAGCTGTTTTTGTGGTAGCAGTCTCCCCTCCTTGCTGGTCTGTTTGCTGGGTATTTTGGTTTATTAACTTGGTAACTTGAATTTAACGTTGGTAAAGCTACTGTTAGCATTTTCGCTAACAGCTTCTTGCATTTGGATAAGCTGTTACGTTTTGGTTTAGAGTTCATCTGTTTTGTGGTGTAGAACTCCCTTTTATTACATTTAGAGTGTTGTGGGTTTTCAGTTTAGTGTAAAATATCACCTTGAGTTTGGTTTAACCACCCAGTTTAGAGTTTGGACCTTTGGAGATCCTTATTTTGGTCCAGAACCCAGTAATCTTTGCCCAGTGGGACATCCCTAGTTATTTGTACTTTTGTTTTAATTCCCCACAGGCAGAATTAGTTTTATTATTCCCGACCTGTGGATGGAAACATTTATGATTTTTTATTGTTGTAAATAAACCTGATCATCATTTTAAATCCCATGTTATTGTCCCTTCCTTTTTGCACACGAACCAAACTCCCCAGGAAGAGTAACACCACTCGCCTCACGCACATAAGTGACCAAAACAAAGCAGCATGGAGACACTCTGTCTCCAACTACCTCTCAGGCAGCAGCCTGCACTCCCAAGTTCTACATGTCACCAGAACATAACCAACCACAACACAATAAAAGCAGTGTTGTACAAAATGGAAGGTCTGTAGTGTTTATTCTCTTACAGTAACAATTTATCAATTTTTGGAGGAATTTATTTTAGATTTTCTTGTTTTTATTAATTGTGCAAAAAAAATCACTTGATTAATCGTCTAAATAGTCATTAGAATTGTCGACTATTCGATAAAATAATCGTCAGAATAATCGTTTTAAAAATAATCGTTTACCCCCAGCCCTACTGGTAACGTGTTAAGCCTTTTATTAATACAGTTGAAACGTGTCCGTCATCAAAATATAAAACAAAACCAAATCTCGTTGTGTCCCCCCAGTGACTCTGGACGAAGTGTCCAACGAGGCATCACGGGCGGCGACTGAAGATGTGGCTGCAGGGTTGGCCTATCCCACCAGTGCGCCTCGGGTGCATGGCTCACCTGGAAGTTGCTGGGTGCTAACTGACGCTGCTGTCCTGCAGGCACAGAGGGACATGATTAGTGCGGTGAACGAAGTGCGAGACGAACTGCACAAAAGATGTGATGTTCTGACAGAAATTTCAAGCACACTTGGCAAGAAAATAAAATATGAAAATCATTCCTTCCGTGTTGGTCCTATAAACGACGCATGACATTCTGTATCAATCTGGCCCCCTGCTGATATCCTGCATGTCGGGGCGGGGGCTGCGCTTCAGGCTGTGTGTGTGTGTGTGAGTGTGTGTGTGTGTGTGTGTGTGTGTGTGTGTGTGTGTGTGTGTGTGTGGGGTTGCTCTGTGTGCACTTACAGCGGTACAAGTGATAATGCTGCTGGAATTCATAAATGTATCCGTCTCAGCAGCAGTGCTCTCTGTCCAAAATGTGCGTCAGCCAGGTCCTTAGTCAACTTAAAGTTGCGCACATTTTTCTGCTACGATTTTTAAAAAATAAATCCCAAAGTTTGCTTAGAAAGTTGTTTACGCGGTTTCCGACCCCATTTTGTGCGTAAGCAAGCTTGATAAATGAGACCCCTGACCTTGAAGGATCCCTCAAAGGCTACAGTCCCATGCAACTATCAGCCAATAACCTGTCTTCCCACAACATGGAAGTTCATATCAGGCATCTTAAGATAAGTGGGCACATGGATCGATACATGAGCACAGCACAGTAGGGCATCAGCAGAGGTACCAGTGGCGCTAAACACCAGCTGCTGTTAGATCGAACAAAAACCCTATAAATATTTGGCAGAATATCATCTGGCTTTTATGAAAGCTTATATTTTTTATTTATAGACTATACTTATGAAAAACAATATTGATATGTTGTTCTTATCGGTAAGGTTGCTGTTTTCTCACAATGCAGATGACAGATTCTGGTCATAAACCAACTTTTTAATTTCCTCCATAAAATTTTCTGTTGAATAAACATTCAGGCAGTTTGCTAGTCCTGTCATTAAGCTGTCATTTTATCATCTAATACTTTGTTTGTTTGTTAATTTATTTATTTATTTATTTATTGAATAACGATTGAAAACAACTCATTTTAGAACACTTTTTTACTTTTTTTACAAATTGGTAACAAAGAAATGTTAGATCTTCTTTGCTGAAACATACTGATTGACCTTGGAAATGTGCTTGCCATGTATGAGCTTCAGTTCAAATCAAATCAACTTTATTTATATAGCACTTTTCATACCAAAAATGCAACTCAAAGTGCTTTACAGATTAAAATGGCCCCATAGATCCCACAGTTGTTATCCAACGTCTCCCAGTGATTTAACTGTGAATTGTGCTGAAATATTACATGTATTGTGCAAAAGTGATTATTTACTCAATATTAGTTTGTTTGTTAATAAAGGTCTGTTAATTATCTGCTGGTTCTGCCACTTAAAACTTTGCCTGCCAACCTTTTGGCTAAATCCAATGTAAGCTCTTTGGTTTCCTGTCTATTTATTTACAGGCAGCTTCCGTTACTCCTGTGACATCTGTGGCAAGAAGTATAAATACTACAGCTGTTTCCAGGAGCACCGCGATCTGCATGCAGTTGGTGGTAACTGTTGTACATTTAAACATTTCCAACTTATATAAGTTCTTATTTTAATAGTAACTATTAAATGTAAAAGAAGTAAATAAACAAATTAAAAACTGCTTTGTGTACTAATATGTATGCGTAGTTATGGTTTGGATGTTTAGTGCAACTAATTACATGATTCAGTATTTTTTATGCACTTTTGTTTAAAATTTAGCCTTGAGGGTCAAACTTGAAAGAATGAAAAGCTGAACAGCATTTGGAGAGATTAACAGAAAGACAATCTGACAATCTCAAAATAAGAAGATTTCCACTTTCTAATCCTAGTCTCTGTTCATTAAAATGTGTTTTTCCTACATATGTTGGCTGTTAATGAATTATTTAGTGTGCATGACACAATAAGTAAAAGTAGTAAGATTGAGCTATGCATGCACGAGGTACATGTGTGAAAATGTAGTTGTTTTGATTTTTGGAGTATTTCATGCTAAATGCTTTCATTGAACTCTGTCTCAGATCCATTTGATCCAGTGGTGTTACCTGTTGATGGTCTTAAAGAGGAGGAGCCCGTTGAACCCTATCAGAAAATTGGACCAAGTAAGATGGTTTGATTTATTGTTGAATTAGAGAGGTGTGCTCAAAATTCATACTTTTCAATAGTCACATTTGTTTTGAAGCCCTGTTGTGCATTTTTCAAGACAAAATATTTGCAAACTAACAATATTTGAAAGTTGTTACCAGGAAGAGTTAAATTAACAAAGTGAAAGAATATCCTCTGAAATCTATACATTTATTAATTTGTGCGGATCATTATTTCTTATTTTGAATGCGATTCTAAATCAGATTATTGATAAACGGCTGCTGTGAATAGGTGAATGTTCACTTGTGCATACTGCTAAGTAGTGACCAGCGTTTACAATCAGGTAAAAAAAAAAACAACAAAAACAAACCATAACAAATAGGTTCTCTATAACAACTCTGAATGGGAATAAAGACAAAAAATATCTTTCACCAGCTTTACTTTTTTGGTGCAACCTAAAACATTCATTGAAACAAGAAATACTGATATGAATAAAAATAAATAAATAAATAAACAAGTAGAAAGGCCTGGTGGGCTGCAAGTGGCTCGTGGGTTGCCAGTTGAGGTTCACTGGACAAGACCAACTTTCAGAGCAAAATATTTTTAACTACTGCAACGGTTTGTCTAAGTTTCTATGCTAGAGCATTGTCATCAAATTCACTAAATCATTAAGTACGTTTTTGCTGATTTTTTCATTGCTTAGTAAAATAACTCAAAAGAATGCAATGATTGCAATGGTCTGGACTGCAGTTGAAACCCTGTATGTTTTTAAATCTCCATTTGAATGATTGGAAAATCTACTGTCTCCGTTTTAAATTATGATGTAGTTTGTTGGCACCACACTTTTGCACGCAGCCCACATGTGTTCATTTAAAACACAGTTTTTGGTGAAATTAATGTTGATGATCCATGTAAGAAAAATGACATTGTACGTCGGCAAGCATTTTTAGTATGAGTCCAAAAGTCTTCTTTCACAGGAGAAAAATCACACAGCCACCTTCACAAAGACCAGGGGTTCAACAGATGGCAGCTCATGTCCCTTCAGACACGGTTGGCAGTGTTTGCAGGTGGGAACCCTGCACTTGTCACTGCACCACTGGTTCTAATATGGGGAATATTGTGTCAACCCCCCGTTCTTTATGTGGAAACCCCTGATGAATGGGAATCTGATTAGAAAAACTTCAAATATGGCTGCTCGATTATGGCGAAAATGATAATCATGATTATTTTGACTGAAATTGAGACCTCGGTTATGTAAGACAATATTTAATTAGTGTTTTTCTTTATTATCATTTATGTGTTTATTCAGTCATAACATTGCACAGGGCACAATTAGTTGAATTGAAAAATGAATGTAAACAAGATAATTGTAAGCACAACTTCTGATTTCTTGTGTAAAAGAGCCAATATACACTTGCTCACTGTTTATGACCGAAATGGTATAGGCTGAAATTTCACTTATTTAAACCTACCCAATACATACACAACTTGATAAAACACATACTGCAAATGACAGCAAAAGGGAGGTATGCAGTGCAAACGTTTGTAATATAAAAATAATAAGGGAAATATATTGCAGTGAACTTCCACAACCTGCTGCATAATAATTATGTAGTTCCTGTCCAATGGTGCTGTAGTGGAGTGTGTACAGTACCACGATGCAACGTGTCCCTCAGATAGATGAACTATTATTTTTTACAAACCTGAGAAATTGGAGGTGTGCCGTGAGAGTGCATGAAGACAGTCAAATGCGTGTCTCATGCCCATTGCGTAACCTGCAGAGAATTATCAACGACAGAAAGTAGCTATGGTCCTCAGAAATGTTTCTAGGTTGTTCGCTGTCTTGGTCTGAAAAGTTGTTAAAAATAGCAGCAAAGTTGCTAAGTTGGCAACAGTGTGTGTGAGGTGTGCTTGATTTGCAACTCAGAGCAGTGTGGAAGTAAACTGCGAAGGGACAACAAATAATCAGCTTGTTTTGTTTTGATAATCATTCAAAACCCAGAACGTATTTGTGATTAAAATTCAATTAATCAAGCAGCCCTAAGTTTAAATCAGCATCTGATATCAGTTTCGTTTTCTCCACTTCTTCATGATGACACAAAACAGCCCTTAACATCTTCTGTTCCTCTTTTAATAGACATCCAATCCGTTGAACTTGATTTCAACTGATATCATTCTTGTTTTGTGGCTAACATGGATGCTAGTGAAAACAAAAGGTTTGTCTGTGTGATTTCTTGTCTCCAGAAACAGGAAGTTATGTTTGTGAGTTCTGTGGGAAACAGTACAAGTACTTTAACCCCTACCAGGAGCACGTTGCTCTTCACACACCACTAGGTGAGTTTATCTACACCCGTGGCTGAATGTTCACTCAGTTGTTTGATTTTATTTATAGAAATTACTGACGCAATTTAAAAAATCTTCGCTTATTAAGATGAAAAATAAGAGTAACAATGGCATTATTCTTGAAATAGCAAAGGAAAATAAACTGTGAACTAAAAAAACTGAGTTTTCCTTCCAGTTGCTTTAAAATCTTTTTAGTCTGGCTAAATTCATTCAACTTGTTTTTATCTTCCACAGTTGTTGCACTCGTTTTAAAATTTTCCTCTTGATTGAATATTTTTCCTTTTGTTTCCCATGGGTTGAGCTTCCTATAGTTAATAAATGGTTTACATTTTTAAACTTTATTATAATTTCATCCTCACTGCATCATTCAGATTTTGTCTAACTGAATACTTTTTTTGTTAAAGGCACATTTGATTTAAAAGCTTCACGGGCTCAGGATTGCACTGGGATTGACATGAGTAAATATGGCCACAGCCAAGCTGCTAAAATAAAAAGTAAGTATAACTTTATTTTCACTCATTGTATTTGTTGTTGTTTACATTTGCAGACCTGCCAATCTGTACACATTTTGTGTAACAAGCACAGAAGTTTTCATCTAAATACGCTGGTACGTCTCACCCCTCTTAACTACGCAAAAAGCTGCAGACACGTGAGTTCTGCAGCAAATTTGCACGTGTTGTACTCCTGTCTGACAACACAACTCAGCAGTGTGGTGAAGAAGTTTAAGCCAGTCACCGTAGAAAAGCGGACAAAAACAAATCTGCCTAACCTATAGCGTAACACCCCCGCCCCCCTCCTCCCTGCTGCATCCTCCAGTTCCCACTCGCTGCTGTTCTGGGGTCTCATTCATCAAACATTGCGTAGAATCCTTACTAAAACCGTACTTAAGCTCAGCAAAAAAAAATGTACTTACGCCAAGTAGGTTTGTGATCTATCAAACATGGAGTACGCACAGCTGCACGTAATCTCCGCTTCGTAAATCAGAAACTATCTAGAAAGGTTCTCAGCTGCTTTGTAGTCACGTCCCGCCCTCACCATGCCCACTTACTGCTCGGTTCTGTTGTTAAAACCCATTCCTCCTACCCTCCGTAGCGTGCAAGTGGCAAAATGCGCGCACTCATTACAAGATTGCTCCCGCGGTGCGCTCTGTGCGTTAAAACATCGGGTTTGTGCAAATCAACATTAGAAGCTGAAGCAAATTCAGTTGTTGAAGTTATGTGTACCAACCCTGCTTATGGATCACCTCAGAGATGGCTTGTCGATGTTAATATTTTTTTGTTTATTTATTTATTTATCAAGAACAAAAAATATTACAAAAAGCAAAAGAGAACCATTAGAATTGGCTGAGCTCAAAATCTACAACACCTAGACTCTTCAGACTTTAACTAGATTATTTAAAACTCATAGCTGAGTCCTTAAAGGCCCAGTGTGTGATATTCTTACCAGTTTACTATCAAATCCTGTGTTTCCAGTTCACAAACTTGTCCTTTTTCACTAATATTTCTCACCAACATCAATTCTAAATATTCCTGTCAACTCGAATTTATACATTTTATATACATAAACTGTGGTCGACACTCCATGGTCATCCGCCATCTTAAAATACAGTAGCTGTTTAGGGACATACTAGCTCCACGTTACCCGTTTGGTCTATGACTGTAACCTGAAAGAACCAGCAGAGGGCAGCAGTGCGCCCCGGAAGCATGGAGTCTGCTAATTCAACTAAAATAAAAATGAATAGCTACACTGTTGTACTACTTGTTAGTTTGAATAAAAAAGCAATTAAATCAAAAGACACATACAATTTTTCTGTTCCTCATCATGTCCAACACAAGGAAGCTGCATATGTTCAGACCCCCGCCATCTATTATCTTTGACGCCAGCCTCCGATTAGTGTCTCTGACTCCCAAACTCACCTCAAGTTGTACATCCGTCTTTTCCTAGTACCAGAACTTCTGACCCGGTCCCAACGTGTCCTTTCCAAACTCCTTCTACTCAAGTCTCCTCTCGTCCTGCAGCCTGCCGTCTCGCCCAACACACTCCAGCGCTCAATCGCTAGCCAGTGGCTAAAGCAGCGTTGTTTACTTGATCTCCACAACACTTTACTAACAGCGATGTTGTTCTCCACATGTTACAGAGATGCTTCGACACAGAGGGCTTCTTCTCAAACATTACTTTTAGATTTGGCTCTCCTTTTGCTGGTAATCTGTGGGAGTTTACACACAGCATACACAGTGTCTCCCCAACTCTAGCCATGGCTAACTAGTAGCTCGTGACGCCAATCTCCACCATGCCAACTGTGAGCTACGATTAGCTGATGCATAAGTCCGCATTGTTTACGTGATCTCCAGCATGTCCCTGGCTCACCAACACTCTTCACCAGCCTGGTTAACTATCAGCCAGTGATTGCTCCATATCCATATAAACTGATAGCGGCAGCCAGTTTATTTACATCCAGGCACCGTGATCCACGTGAAACGGGGAAATTATGTTCCTCTGAAATATTCTGTGTCCCTTAGGCAGTCAAGAGCAAATATTTCCAAATCCACAGAACTTATTGTCCATTATGAGGACTAAACTACCTCAAATAAAAGATGGTTAAATTGAGTGAGATTACATCTTTTTACATAACTTTCAAAAATGATAAATAAGCTTGCTGCAAAGAGTGAACAAGAATGTTTTTACTGTATCTTTTTTATTGTTTTTAGGAGGAATTACAGATAAAAATCACAAGCATAAAATTATTACATTACATTACATCATTTCCCCATAAAAGTTGATCACAAATGCTGTGAAAATAGCCAGAAATGCGATCTCCCGACACGGGGGGACAGAATATTTCAGGGGAACACAATTTCTCACAACACCTGACCTCCCGGCTGACGTCACCCCTCCTCCGTGTGTGAATGTTGACAGCTTCAACAACAGAACTAGCTTGCTTCCATCAGGACTGGTAGGCTGATAAAACAGTCATAATTATAAATGTTTTTTAAAGAGGTCAAGTAGCTTGTTTTAAGCTTAGTGTGGGCTAGGCTACACAGGTTGGAAATTGATTATACAACCAAACTCATGAGTGAGCCACCGTAGCTGCAATACTTTCTCTGAACTGCATGGCGCTAAAGAGTCACATTTTCATCATGATTTCAATGCATTTCACACATGGGGCCTTTAAAACATAGTTTGTGATTTGTGAAACCTTAATTTGATTTGTTACAGTAGAAAAAACACACAAGTTTCATCTGTTCCAGCTCAAAACTACAACACTTAAACTCTTTGGACCTGAGCTAGATTATTCTACAATAACTGTAAAATCCATAAAAGACAGTGAAAGTCCAAATAAGGCAACTTTTTTCAATGATGTTTTGTGAGTTTGGTTTATGTTAGCAACATGTTTGTTCAGTACTACAGGTTTATAAACAGTAGGTTATGTTTATTTCAAGAGTTTATGTTGGTCACCCAAGAAATGAAACATTTTATAATTAGAGCAGATTGAAGATGCAGGAAGTGGAAAAGTTGGCTGGAATTAACTTTTCCACATTAGAAACTTGAAAGCGAACCAATTCAGCTTTATACGAAACAAATAACAATAAATAGTTCAAATAAAACAGGAAGAATGAATAATAAATATTTTTTTGCCAAATTAATGACAAAATTATCTAATAAAAATTGTGGCCATGCTTGTGACCCTCTACCTACCTCACCATGCATTTTGCTTAATCTGCAGTTATGATGTGGACATTAACCACCAGGGAGCTGCGGGTAATCTACAGTGGTGTGAAAAACTATTTGCCCCCTTCCTGATTTCTTATTCTTTTGCATGTTTGTCACACAAAATGTTTCTGATCATCAAATACATTTCACCATTAGTCAAAGATAACACAAGTAAACACAAAATGCAGTTTTGAAATGATGGTTTTTAATCATTTAGGGAGAGAACAAAATCCAAACCTACATGACCCTGTGTGAAAAAGTAATTGCCCCATGAACCTAATAACTGGTTGGGCCTCCCTTAGCAGCAATAACTGCAATCAAGCGTTTGCGATAACTTGCTACGAGTCTTTTACAGCACTCTGGAGGAATTTTGGCCCACTCATCTTGGCAGAATTGTTGTAATTCAGCATTATTTGAGGGTTTTCTGGCATGAACCGCCTTTTTAAGGTCATGCCATAGCATCTCAATAGGATTCAGGTCAGGACTTTGACTAGGCCACTCCAAAGTCTTCATTTTGTTGTTCTTCAGCCATTCAGAGGTGGATTTGCTGGTGTGTTTTGGGTCATTGTCCTGCTGCAGAACCCACGATCGCTTCAGATTTAGTTGACAAACAGATGGCCGGACATTCTCCTTCAGGATGTTTTGGTAGACAGTAGAATTCATGGTTCCATTTATCACAGCAAGCCTTCCAGTTCCTGAAGCAGCAAAACAACCCCAGACCATCACACTACCACCACCATATTTTACTGTTGGTATGATGTTCTTTGTCTGAAATGCTGTGTTACTTCTACACCAGATGTAACGGGACATTTGTCTTCCAAAAAGTTCAACTTTTGTCTCATCAGTCCACAAGGTCTTTTCCCAAAAGTCTTGGCAATAATTGAGGTGTTTCTTAGCAAAATTGAGACGAGCCCTAATGTTGTTTTTGCTTAACAGCGGTTTGCGTCTTGGAAATCTGCCATGCTGGCCATTTTTACCCAGTCTCTTTCTTATGGTGGAGTCGTGAACACTGACCTTAATTGAGGCAAGTGAGGCCTGCAGTTCTTTAGAAGTTGTCCTGGGGTCTTTTGTGACCTCTCGGATGAGTTGTCTCTGCGCTCTTGGGGTAATTTTGGTCGGCCGCCCACTCCTGTGTAGCGCGATGAATTGTCCATTTCTGACCTAAAAGGCCCTGCTCTGTTTTGCTCTGCTCAAAGCAAAACCTGAGGTTTCTGACTCAAACGTAATCTACAAGGATGGGTCAAGGCCACTTATGCTCTGTGCTTATCTAAATTATTGCTTCTCCAAACAGCACAAGAAAGAAGACAGAACTCTTTCCCTTTAAATAATAATAAATCAAAGAATTCTTTCTCTGTTTTTAATAAGCTAATCAAACAAAGTGTTAGTCCAATAATAAAATGTGAACCAATCTGTGAAATGACAATGTTTATGATCAGTAGAGAATAATAAGTAATATAACTTTACATATTTCCACTAGAGACTGATCACATGTAATGCTAAAATCACGTGACACATTTCCTTTTTCTGATCCAATCAGAACCTTTCAGATCTGACGCGAGGTGTGGTTTTGTTGGTGCTTGGTAAATCCCCTCTTTTTGTCCTTTTTTGAGTCGACCGTAAATCAAAACATCCAAATTATAAAACTATGCCCACGAGTTCAAAGCGTTGTAGAGAAGTTGTCGGAGTGGCCAATCCGTAACTTTCCTCTTAAAGCCGAAAGAACCTAACGACAAGCTGGATTCAATCTGTTGCATGTTCCACCTGCTGCAACGGTTCCTTTCAGAATAAAAGCTGAACCATCACGACCCCTTGCAGGGTCTTGCTAGATGCCAGTAAAACTGTCGTGACCTGGAAGTATCTCAAGACTGGTCTGGTCGGCAACCGCTGCATATCTACAGGCGTCTGTTCCAAGAGGGTCAAGCTGGACCTCGACATTCCTGATCTAACGAGGACTTCCGCCAAGGGTGCGTAGACCGACAGAATGGCGTCTCAGTGTGTGTTATCAATCTCCAAACCAAAGCTTAGAGCGAAACATCATCTTCACTCCCATCAGAACTAATCGTTTCTCCGGATTTGCTGGTTCTGAACATATTTCACACATACACCATCCTCAGTCTTCACCTTAGTTACACCATACACTAGGACTGCACGATATTAGGAAAACCTGCGATATTCGATAACAGTGCTTAATATTGCGATATCGATATTACTCACGATAAATGAACAAATACTAAAGTATGGAGTGTTGATGTCGTCTGGCGTATGACGTCTGCTCTGGGTTCAAAGCAAACAAAAACTATTGCATGAAATCCATTACAACATAACATTTTTATTGCAAAAATATGCAGCTTCACCTGCTACTGTATTAGCAGCAAAACAACAAACCGCATGCATGCAGTTTCTCAGTGACTTTAAAACATCACCACCACCATAAAACTTTTTCTGATGCTCCAAATACAGAAAAACATCCCTTACTAGGGTTTTTGGAATAAATAAAAAAAAATCTGAAAATAAGTTTAAATGTTAAATAATAGTTAACATCACTTAAATGCAACAGCAAATTCTCTCATTGCTACTGAGCATTTTCTCCACTTATGTGGTTATGACATAAGACTGTTGCTGTAATTGGAAAGTGAACTGTGCTGGCCCAAACTAGGAGAATATTAAGATTTTCTGAGGGAAAGAGAAAAACAATTGTCTACCTTTCAGAAGAGGAACTGGCAAAAAAACTACATGGAAAATATGTGAAAACGTTTGTTTTTAACCCCAAATTGAACAAGTTTACCTAGATCTTAAAAAGCCGCTCAGATGATGAAACTGCAACTATGATTCTGATAACAAGCTAACAAATTGAACTAGCTCCTCTTAAGATAACCGGCTAGCAGAGCTTCTGACTGACAGTTTATGTGCAGCAGCAAATCAACTATCCTGACTAACAAGGTTATAAAAGCTCATAAATGAAAAATCACTTTGATGTGTGGGGGAACTTTTCCAGGCCCTCTTGAGCAGGGTGGGACTGGGAGGAGAGTGCTGTAGCCTTTTAGCTGGAAGCTAACCGGAGCCTGGGCTAACGTCAGCTACATGAAAGTGGGTTGGTTCACCGGCACGTGTCGGAGTCAGCCCGGTTATTATCAGCTGCTTAACGACACCAAGCAGACTCACGCTCACGTTTGAAAGCAGCGCTGATTCCAGAAACCTCAGCACAAAGTGCGTTCGTTAATCTGAGCCAGCATGACGAACAAGGGAAGCGAGCGGCAGTGGAAAGCGGGGGCGGAGCGGAGATAGTAGAATTTTGGGGTAAGGGTCTACATAGGGGGCGGGCGTATTACGTGAACGGACCCATCTGATTGGCCGCATATCAGAAGGGCTATAGTTGATTGGTCAAATAATACTTCCGCGTAAAAAACAGAGTTGGTTTACAAAAAGTTGATGTATGACACGGATGGAAATGTTTGAACCAAACATTTATCGCCGTTTTTGACGTGCTTTGCAATGGGCCTATCGCACGTACTGTTATCGCGATGTCGATAATTTTTCGATATATTGTGCAGCCCTACCATACACCTAGTGTTTAAAGTTAGTCTTGTTTAATTTGTTTAGTAATAAATCTTTTAACTTTTTAAACCTGACTCTCTTCTCTTTCTTGGAGTTGATACAAAGTGTTGCTCAATCCCTGCAATAAAAAGATCCAATCTTCTGTTTAAATTTTACTCAAAGATCCATTAAGGTGATATCTCATAATTCCTGATATTTCACACTCTATGGTTTCTAATTAAATGTAAGAGTTACTTCTCTACACCTGGGAAGGTTCAGCACTGTTCCATGTTGTTGCCATTGTGGATAATGGCTCTCACTGTGGTTCGCTGGAGTCCCAAAGCTTTAGAAATGGCTTTATAACCTTTACCAGACTGATAGATCTCAATTACTTTTGTTCTCGTTTCTTCTTGAGTTTCTTTGGATCTTGGCATGATGTCTAGCTTTTGAGGTGCTTTTGGTCTACTTCTCTGTGTCAGGCAGCTCATATTTAAGTGATTTCTTGATTGAAACAGGTGTGGCAGTAATCAGGCTTGGGGGTGGCTACAGAAATTGAACTCAGGTGTGAAACACCACAGTTGGGTTATTTTTTAACAAGGGGGGCAATTACTTTTTCACACAGGACAATGTAGGTTTGGATTTTGTTCTCTCTTTAAATAACAAAAACCATCATTTATAACTGTGTTTTGTGTTTACTTGTGTTATTTTTGACTAATGGTTAAATGTGTTTGTTGATCAGAAACATTTTGTGCTACAAACATGCAAAAGAATAAGAAATCAGGAAGGGGGCAAATTGTTTTTCACACCATTGTATAAATTAGCCCCGGTGGTGTGTGCATATGTGCTTTAAGCCAATTTAATTTAATTTAATTACATTCTTGAAAACAACCACCTGTTACAATATACAAAATAAATCATTATCAATAAATACGTATAAAATATTTTTAGATAATTTTTAATTATTTAGGTATTGAAATAATGCAATGCAAGTAACTTGTGGCTATAAGCTTGTTTGAACATACATATAAAGAAGATAAGCAACTTATGAGTTTTACTGTTTAATTTTAAAATACATGATACTTTGAACTATTCAAGAAGATGTTTCCAACCAGTGAGTGGAGACATTGCAGTGTGGAATGCAACGGAGTTGCAAAGGTCTGCAAACAAAAAACAAAAAAACGCCACGCATGTGGTACTCAAAACATTTTGACAAGGTTGGCAGGTCTGCATTTGCATGGTTGTTAAGGTTATAGTATTGATGCTTAAAATGGATAAACTATTTGTGAACGATGACTTCAATATGATCATCTGTGTCTCTGGATTACAGGTCCGAGTAAAGTGCTAAACAGTGAGTAATTTTATCATTTAGTACGTTTGCTCAGCCACACACACCAAGCTAAAATTAAACTGCTCACAGTTCCTTGTAAAGGCAAATCCTGATGATTTCTTACAAATCAACCATGTTTGTGTCCCTCAAGTTCCAACGAGATGTGAGTTTTTAAAGTTCTGGTGTCGAATGTTGGAGGAAGGCATGAAAGCGAGTAATGCCTGACAAAGTAGTAAATTTTAGGAATTAAGTTGATGTTCAGTTCTCAATAAAAGTAATTTCAGGCGTGATGCAATTACACGCGGTCCAATTCAGTACGACTATAATACAACTTGATACAATCACACAATTTATTCTCATTATAATCCAAATTATAAAATGTCACTTTGTCAAAAAAAAGTAGAGTAGCTGAGGTTCATCGACATGAATAATGATTTATCACACATACTTCTGTTGGACAATTTATATTATATTTCTGTCAGACCGTAGCAGGTTTTACCAGTCAGCTGTGGGTCAGCAGAGGCCTCGGCTCAGCCGGTTGGCGTTGGCAGCACATAAGTCAGAAATCTCACTCGGAAAGAGCACCAGCATGTTACAGAAGGCTGCTAAATAACACTTTGACAAGTCCACGAACAGTAAAGCTGATTCTGAATGCTTCGTCAACACTTTGCTTTTCTCAGAAGTGACTTTTTTTTAAGGTAGCAAATGTAGAAAAGAAGCAGCATACTCAAAAAGTCCGTTAGTGTTCACTTGTCAGAAAATGATTTGTAATCTGAATCAAAAGTGAATTTTTTTTGCGGCTCGTGCCCCCGACACCCTGTACCATCCCCCACCCCCCGCTCAACCCATCTTTCTGCTAAGAAGCACTCAGCCTATTTAAAGCATGGCACACACTCACATCCTAGAAGTGGGTCAAAAAGATGGAATGAAGAGGAGGAATTAAACACATATTCAAATATAATATGACCATTTGGATCCCTTTTTTCAGGGCTGTTAGTATGGTGGGTTTAAATGCAGCAAATTATGATAAAATTTAAATAGTGTTCTGTTAATTTCGCTCAGTCTTAAGATGTGTGTGTAGCTTGAATTTAAAATATCAAAGCTCTTTATTTTGTATGAGCTTGCCACTCACTCATTGTTCCTCCTCTTGTTTTGCCACACAGACAGCCCATTTAGGCGGAAACTGGAGAATGCGATCCAGTCCAGTCTGGTTGACACAAACAGTTCTCAGAACTCAAGTGGTAAGCACTGGCTTTGTTGGGCAAAAGTGATTTTTCTATTAAAAGTTTAAAATAATGTATTTTGCCTGTATTCAAAGTCTTTGAGCAGTTATTGTTTTGCTGCTCATGCATGAGCTGAAAAATGAGATAGAGTAGAGGTGTGTAGAGGTTTGAGTGACCTACCTTGTATCTACTGTGTCTACGTATATAAAACCCAATTCTGGGAGCTGAATTATTATTCCTCTTCACACTCCATCATAAAACCAGAGACCTTGTTGAATTATGTTTGGTTTTGATAACAGCCAAAGTACTTCAACGCAAATACTGGGGGAAAAAAAAAAGATTTGTACACTTCTGGTTCCCAAAAAAGATCAGATTATGTGTAAATAAAACCAAAAAGCAATGATCTGCTTGTCTGTGTTCAGTTTAAAATAGTACAAGTGCTGAAACTGAGAAGTATTATTTTTGAACATTTGCTTGTTTTAAATTTGATGCTAACCACTTGTTTAAATATAACCCAGACGGGTGCATGTTGACTGCTGTGCTGTGTTGCATCACCCCTTTGCTCAGAAACACTCTCGAGTGTTTGGGAACTGAGGACAACAACTGTTGGTGTTTCAATGATAAAATACTTTCTATTCTGGGTTGGTTTTGGGTTTCAGCTGCTCAACAATTTGAGCCCTTCTTTTTGACGTGTTTTATTTCATAATTCTGTACTATGTGTTTTATGTGTGTTATGTAAAACTGATGTAAACTACACTTAGACTAAATGATTTCACTTTTGTTTTTAAAAAAGTGCCCTCATTAAAGACAGACATTTGAACATCATTGATCTAAAATGATATAATCGTTTAATATATCTGACTTGACTTGCCATGCACATGGGCTGTTTCTGAAACTTAGAATATATCTCTGTATAAACCCCAAAGTAAATACAATTACTTCAGACATGTCTTCAGATAATAATCATCAAAATGAATCAGCAGTGTTGATAAGCTGCATTTCAAAAAATGTATGTTTTCAAGGCTGTAGTTCTACATTTCATTGCTACCTTTTGAGGCCTAAATAAACAAATAAAGCATAGCAGCAGGACACTAACAGCGTACGGAAGGCTGGCTGTACAGCTCATCAACAGCACTCTGAACCCTGGGGGGTTCCAGCAATGAAATGCCAAGATGTAGAGTCAACATAAAATCCAAGCTACACATAATTACTTTAAATGAGAAACTCCATCTACATTTATCTTGATAGTTTGTGAATTAAAAATAATAAACCTATTTGAGGATATTGAACCACACTGAGCATTAATAGTTAAAAAGACTGTAAACTGAGATGTTGGTTGGGTTGTCAGTAGGGATGCCTGATATTATTGGCCTAACATTATTATCGGTTAATACTGACATTAAAATCATTACCAGAAATTATTAGTATCAGTTTTTACTCTTTTACTGACACAACTTTTACATACCATGCACATTTTATACATCACGCTTTTCAGCTGATTCTCCTCTCACTCAAAGTGTCAACGTTTGACAGATCCCAGGTATAGTTAGAGATATTTTAATTGTTTGGCAAAACTGGTCTAACTTAAGTTGAGGTAGTCTATTTTGCCTAGATAAGGGGTCACCAAACTTTGTAAGACTGAGAGCCACTTCATGGGTATTGAGCCACCCCAAAGCTACTAGGTTTGTAGAACAGTTAACATTCACTAGTCTGAAGTTGGTCAAAAACACAACATTAACTCCCTTTGATCAAATATCTACTTTGCAAGTATTGCAAGTTGCCCTGTTGTCATCCTTTTTTCATAAAGTATAACCAAACTTTCGAATGTTTGTGCTGCAATAATCAATTGTACCTGGAATAGGTTAGAAAGATCTTTCCAAATGGTCAGTGGCCTAGTGGTAGTGTGTCTGCCCTGGGACTGGGAGATCAGAGTTCAAATTCAGCTCAGGTCATACCAAAGACCTTAAAAATGGGATCCAATGCCTCCCTGCTTGACACTCTGCTTTAGGGGGTTAGATTGGGAGGTTAAACCACCAAATAGTTTCCGAGCACAGCCGCTGCTGCAGCTCACTGCTCTCCACAGGGATGGGTCAAATGCAGAGATGATTTTCACGAATGTGTGATGACTGATGGGACTTTGGTATAGACTTTGTAAAGCTACACAGCATGTGTGGTGATGTCAATGGTGCCGACTGGAATTGATAAGAGAATTCTTTGCAAAAATGGCAAACTGTTTCTAGGAATTGAAACAGTGGGAACAGGTTCTCCACATGAACCGGTTTTCTATACCCACCCCTACTAAAGGTGGTCCAACAAAATATTAGCAGAGGTGACATTTGCACGTCCTCTCCTGTTAACGCTGCAGGTAACTAATCAGGTGAGACTATCAAGTTAGCATCTTTTGCCTTATATATACACCTCCACACTAGCAGACTCCAGCGACAAAATTCCGACATGTGGTGAGATTTTTCCCATCTTACAAAAGCTCAAGCATAAAGACGACTCATTTTCATTATTAAACTGAAAGTTATAATGCAAGAGACTGTGTGCAATTAGTTTTTTGCCACCGATTGAACTACTCGGGAATTTATAAGCAATTGGATTGATAGACAGAATTGACAGTGCCATTTATATTGATAAAAACGTATCAATTCCCTCCCCTAACCTTTAGCTTTGATTACGGCACATATTTACTGTGGCATTGTGATAAGTTTCTGCAATGTCACCAGGTTTAGTTCCATCTAGTGTTGCATTAATGTTTCACCAAGATCTTGCATTGATGCTGTTAGTCTGATGGCTGCACAACGCCTTCTCCAGCACATCCCAAAGATTCTCAGTGGGGTGGTCTTGTGGCCAACCCATGTGTGAAAATGATGTCTCATGCTCCCTGAACCACTCTTTCACTATTTGAGCCCGATGAATCCTGGCATTGTCATCTTGGAATATGTCCGTGCCATCAGGGATGATGGAATAACCTGGTCATTCAGTATATTTAGGTAGTCAGATGACCTCATTCTTGGAGCACATCCTGTTGCTGAACCCAGACCTGACTTAACTGCAGCAACCCCAGATCATAGCACTGCCTCCACAGGCCTGTACAGCAGGCACTAGGCTTGTATCACTTCATCTGCCTCTCTTCTTACCCTGATGCTCCCATTACTCTGGAACAGGGTCCATCTGGGCTCATCAGACCAGTTTTTAACTCATTCGCTGCCAGCCGTTTCCTGATCAGTAAAGCCCTTCACTGCCAGCGTTTCTCCCTGTTTTTACTGTTTTTTTAAGAGTCACAGAACGTTGCGCGCTAGGATGATGTCGACACCAAAACAACCAAAACAAAGAGGAGACTCGCCTCTTACATCAGGAAGAATCGGCGCGTTTCGAGCGTTACCCATTCTTTCATAATCCGTTGTCGAATTGTGATCGGCAGAATCTTTTCCGGTTCGCGCCTCACTTTTTTTTTACAGCAGCGGCCCAAAACGATCTCCTAACACATGGATTTTTTGCTTCTTGATCACGTGACATGTGACGTATGTGGATGGAGATCAGTTTTAGAGCTGGGATGCTTGTTCTCACGGTGCGTGGGCTCGTTCCGATGCCCACACAGTAAAAAAAAATGCAAATGACGACTTTAATCGTCATTGGCAGTGAACGGTTGGATTTAAAATGACGACTAGTCGTCAGTGGCAGTGAATGAGTTAATAAAGCCTTGGACAATTCTTAACCCAATTTTAGTCGTTTCTACAATCTGCTTAGATGTTTCCTCTGCTTGATGCATGCCAATGATTTTACCATTCTCAAACAGACTAACATGTGTCTAAGATGTGTCTTTCTACATGGTTGTTTAGGAAATGAAAAGCAACTCATTGCACCAGTTGCGGTTACATATCTTGTTGCCATGCAGTATTTACCCAGTAGGAGGCTCGTACCTATTTGCTTAGTTAAATCTAAGTGGCTGTTGTTTTTTGGCCAGGCAATGTATAATCCTCATCAGTGCCAGCTGTATTATTTGTCTGTTTTCATCTTTTCTTTGCTTAACATTAAAACATGAGTTCAACACAAACTATGCACAGAAATGCATGACACCATTTATTAGAATTTATCCCATTTAGCTAAAACCATTCATCCGAATAGCACCAAAGACCATCCCATGAAATCTAAGTGACCCAGATCATCAAATTTATATTAATATTATAATTTTTATCTAAAAGAATATGTGATGTTTGCAGATTCGTTTTCATGATCTTCATATTAAAGCTGGTTTACTTCAAAGCTGCTTTATAGATGCTGAAATGAGCTTTGGTGGCATTCAGGATGAAGGCCATTTTATGTTTTATTAGTGCGCCGTTGTGGCTCACTCTCTGTAAAACATTTACGATGATCTGTTATTTGATGCTCCTGTTTGTAAATAAATGCACTTGCCAGTTATTTTTGTACAAATAAGACCAATAAAAGCAGAGATGCACTGATTTAATAAAGAAGTGGAAGAAGAGATGCAGAATGGCTCACTGGGTCTGCGGTCATAAATTCCTTTCCTGTTTTCCTTTCAGCAGGAACGCAGAGCCCTCTGGTGGCCAACACCTTCTCTACATCACAGAGTGAGTCTCGGCACAACCTTACAGAGGGAAAACAGAAAGAGATGCAGATTTTCTTTTTGTCTGCTTCCTTGTATGCATTAATTTTGCAGGATTCAATTATTGAAAAATCATCCTATAGTGTATATTCAAACTGGCCTGGGCAATACGGAAAAAATCTGTCAATATCGATATTTTTTAAAAAGTCACTGTTTTTGTCCATCTTTAATTCTCTGAACCTTTTAAGTGAGATATGTGTTTATCGGGAGGTTATTTTTGATTTTCCAAAACTGAACATGTCATCAAATATAACTGTTGCTGATAAATAAAAGACCTATTTTAAAGTAAAGTAATCAAGTATTAGAGAACAGAATGAAAATTAAGATTTTTTTGTTGATGTCAAGCTAATTAACAGGTATTGAAATGTAAACTCTCAAAATGTCCTTGCTCGTTTTAAATAAGGTTTCTTTAAAAATAAGCTATGGAAAAGAAAAATAGACAAAAACAATGTTTAATATCAATGAAAAATTATAAAGCTTTCAAGAAAAACATATCAAAACACATGGTCTTTGCTCAGAAAATTAAGTACATTTAAATTCTTTATATCCATCCATCCATCGATTTTCCTCTTCCTACCTGGAGTCAGGTCATGGGGGCAGCAGCCTGAGGAGAGAAGCCCAGACTTCCCTTTCCACAGCTACTTGGGCCAGCACCTCCGGGAAAATCCTAAGGCAATGCCTGATCAGCCAAGAGACATAGTCCCTCCAGCGTATCCTGGGTTTTCCTTTAGGTCTTCTCTCGGTTGGATGCGCCCAGAAAACCTCACCAGGGAGACATCCAGGAGGCATCCTTACTAGATGGCCGAGCCACCTCAACTGGATCCTCTTGATGTGGAGGAGCAGTGGGTCTACTCCGAGCCCCTCCTGGATCAGCAAGCTTTTCACCTTTTCACTCTTAAGGGAGAGCCTAGCCACCCTGCAGAGAAAACTAATCTCAGCTGCTCAAATGATCTCATTCTTCCGGTCACAACCCAAAGCTCGTGGACATAGGTGAGGGTAGGAAAATAGATTCTAGACCTTCTGGCTCAGCTCTTTCTTCACCATGGTAAACCAGTACAACTCTCGCATCACTGCAGATGCAGCCCCAGTCTGCCCATCGATCTCGCGCTTCATCTTTCCCTTACTTGTGAACAAGACCCCGAGACACTTCAACTCCTCCACATGAGGCAGGACCTCTTCCCTGACCTGGAGAAGGACTTTTATCCTTTTCCGACTTAAGACCATGGTCTTGGATTTCTTATCCTTAGTTTGTTATTACAAGTCATGACACTTGAGAACCCTGTGGTAATGGTGGTGCATAAGCGGGTGGTTCTGGTTCAGGAGCTTAAACAGATTGGTGGTTTTATCTAACTTTGTCAGAACCTGCACTCGACGTCATTAGCAGTGCAACTACTTTTGTGTTTTTCCAACATTAATTTGCCAAAATGCATAGGTCTCTTATTGTCAGTGGTGTAATTTGCTGTGTTCTCTGTGTTCTTTTTGGGGCGCTCATTTTTCTTCTGTTTTTGCCAGCGATGTCCATCAGCAGGGCATCTGGACGCCATGTTGCTTTGTTCCTGAAACGTTATTTCTTCATATACATTGCTATTATTCTATCGCCCTACCCTAAGGACACTATTCACAATATTTGTGAAGCGTCCCCCAATTCTCACAGATTTGAATTGTAAATTGGGTCAAAGTAACATTCAAAAATCCCTAAAGCCTCTTGGTGCATCTGACTGATGAGGTAAACAATATGCACTGCTGTTTTGTTATTCTCCTGATATAAATTCACTGGTATTCCAGGTTTTGTGATTTATTTCCTCTAATCTCTTTAGAACCCTACACTTGTGGTGCTTGTGGCATCCAGTTCCAGTTCTACAACAACCTGCTGGAACACATGCAGTCGCATGCCGGTGAGTCTGCGACTACTGGTGAGCATTTATCTCAACAGGATAAAATTAATGCAGAATGCAAACACACCCTCTGTAGCTGAATTGCATGTGAAAATCTCAGGATACACACATTCTTTGTTAAATTATTGTTAGCTTAGGAAAACATTGTTTACATGGTTGTTGAAGATCTGGAGTTAAAGCTGTGAAAATGTGGAAGAAATACAGTCTCACCAGAGTGTGACCTTCTTGTGACCGAAGCCAAAGTAATCGTCACTCGATTGAGTCGATGCCTCACTGGTGTCACGTGATCAGAGAAGCGTAATTTTATTGGCTAAAAGCCACTGTACTTGATTGAGTGGCATTTACTTTGGGTGGGGTTACCAGGAGGTCACATCAGTCTTTGAATTTTTGATGTTGAATTTCTGAAGCTGAAATTCTGCAGTTGAGTTTTTATGGATAAAAGTTTTGCTAGTGCCTTTTAATTTTTTTAAAGTACAAATACATAATTTCACAGAATAAAAATGCAATATCTTAAAGTCATAATCTGGTAAGAAAAGTAGTATCAGTGGTTGTTTTTGGCTAAATAATTCACCTTGCAGGCCATGATGATTAGAAAAAGTTATACTTGAATTGGAAGCTATTTATGAACTTTGTGTGTTTGATGTGAAAATGTCTTCAACAATCAAAAACAAAACAAGTCTTTAGAAGCTGTAAATCATCAATGTTTCAAGTGTGTGTCTCTTGTTTTTGAATGACCTTTCCCCTACATCCACAGATGTGTCACGTCATTCCTTTATTTTTTTTAAAGGTGTGGAACTCTGAAAATTTCTGATTTTAATCGGTCACTCTTGAGTTTTTCATGCAGGGTGAACATGAAAATCGTCTCCTACACCTATCTCCTGCATTAGCTTCTGATAGAAAATACACAGTGAAACTCTAGGATTTGAAAAACCTGACAGATCTACGTCACACTGTCACTTAACATTCATGGACTCACCCATCTTGCCTGGCGACGGGAAGGCTGTGTTTGGTTTTGCGTCTAGAAAACAGCAGAGAACGACTCCGCTAGTAGAAGCTAACTGTTAGCATTAGCAACTTCACCACAAAGCAGAAATCTGCCAGGATTGTGGTATTTGTGTAGATGAAACATCATAGTAGCAATTCTGTGGTAGAGTCATGTTCTTGTTATCTTATCTGTGGCAAGATGTTGAAATATCAGGAAACAAGACTCCAAATCTGCCGTATTGTGCTGCTTTCTGCTGCTGCAGACTTGTCTGTACTGATCTAAGTTCTTGTGTATTTTTATTTTTGCCCTGAGTACAGCTTGCAAGGCATTCATTCCTACCATAGACTACTGTAAATGCGTTGATTAAACGAGTGTCCCACACCTTTAAAGCTTGAAACAGATATGAAAACCAAGTTTGTGTCTAATTTGATTTGATTCGTAATTAGAAAAACAAATCACATGAATTTTACAAGGCTGCACAGCTGAAAGGAAAAACGATTTATGTAGAAATCACTGGGTAAAATCTAGTAAAGTTGTATTTGATTTTTTTATATTTTTTTTACTATTTTCTTTTAATGAGCCCCCATTTGCATCCCTTAACCTCTGCCCGCTCTTCCATCTGTCCGTCTTCAGCTGATAATGAGAACCACACCAAAGGGGACTCTCCCAAAACCTCTTCAGCTTCGGGTCCTCAAGAGCAGCTCTGGAGAGGGTCCCAGGCTCAGGCCCATCCCTCAGTTAAAATACAAATCCAGCCTCAAAGTATCTCTCAGAGAAATCACAGTCTCAGCCGTAAGTACCGCATCCTCATTAAGTCTTGTGGTGTAGAGGCACAGCATGTGACCGCATTATGCTTGCTGAAGCCTCTCAACTTGTTTTTGCCTTCTATATTCTTCTGTATGTAAAAAAAATAAGTGTTTTTGTGGCAACTGAGTTGTTTTCAGAGAAGTTTATTAATTCCAAGAATAGGTGAGATAGAAAATAATACCCGGCTCTTTCTGCCGAAGATTCGAGTTTTAAATAGTTGAGACTTACGATCTTTGCCATGTTTCTCCTGTCTTTTTTTGTCAATCCCACCTTTCAGAGAATAATGCTTTACCTGAGAAGGAGCGACAGCAGGTGGCTGAGCGCCTATTACGGGTAATGTGCTCTGACCTGAGCATGCTAAATGTGCTGAACAGCAAGGACTTCCTGAAGCTGGCCCAGACCCTGGTGGATACAGGCGCTCGCCACGGTGCCTACTCCACCCGCGATGCTCTTGGCAACATGAGTGCCTTGGCACTGCGTCAGCTGCCTCGCATGTACAACCAGGTGAAAGTAAAGGTCACGTGCGCTCTGGGCTCCAACGCTTCTCTCGGCATCGCCGTAACCTGCCACTCCCAGGCGTCTGGGCCAGATGCCTGCTATGTTCTGACAGCCTACCAGGTGGAGGGGTCCAGACTCAAACGCTATGTGCTTGGTGTTAGGGAAGCTGAGCTAAGGGAGGGGCCGGAGCAGGTTCACCACTGGGTGCAGAACGTCCTGTCTGAGTTTGTCATGTCAGACATTCGAACCGTTTACGTCTCTGAGCCTCGGCTGTGGGCAGCAGGATTTGCGGGATCACCTCTCGGAGGTGGCAGCCGAGGACGGATATGTTTGAGATGTGCAGGGTGCTCACTCGGCGCCGTTGTTCAAGCTGTTTTAGGAAAGCGCAGCCTCCAGGCTCGAGGGCTTCATGAGTTAGCGGAGCTTCTCTCAACATGTAGAGATATCGCCTCCTCCACCACGCTAGCTCTTCGTGAAGAACAGTGCTTCAACACATCTACAAGCACAACAGAGGACGGTACTCAAGGCCCCCTCGCACAGTGCCCAACACCTCCTTGCTGGGATGGAATGGCTGATGCTCTCCTGCAGGTCCACGCTCACTTTGAACTAATCTGTGAAGCTTATGGTCGCAGTAAGGCCACAGCTCCTCTACTTCAAGGTCTCAGCAAGCATCTGCTGGGCACTCTGGCTTGTCTGCTGGCACCTCTGCGCCTGGCAGCCCTGGAGCTGAGCAGCCAGAGGAGACCCACCCTACAGCAAGTGTTGCCAGTCTACCTTCGCTTGGAGAAGTTTTTCACATCCAAAGCAGGAGAGGCTGGAACCGGAACAGCTAGCAGACTCTGCCACTATTTCCTGGAAGCACTCAAGGAAAACTTTAAGGTACTGATTGCTCACTGTTTGCTTTTTGAAAATTATGGTACGCGTTCCTGTATCTAATTTCTAATTCTAACCACTGAGTTGACCCTCTTCACAGAAGAAGCTACCAGAGCTCAAGCAAAGAAATTAATCCGAGGATTGCTTCTGTCTCCAGGTTGAAAGAGCCCACCAGGTGGCCATGGTTCTGGACCCACAGCTCAAACTGCGTTCAGTGCCAGCCTACCAGCATGAAGATATCATCTCTCGTGCATGTGAAATGGCTGCTGAAAGTAGGGATGGAGGTATGAGTGGTGGTGGTGGAGTTTCAGGTGGAGAGGAGCGGGATACAGATGGCCCACCAGCTAAGATCAGCCACGTAGATGGCAGCGGAAACAATGGCGGGCCTTCAAGGGGCACTGGCACTGTGTCTGGTAATGATGAGGGCCAGGGCCAAATTAGACAAGAGATTTTTAAGTACCTGGCTGAACCTCTCGTCCAAGGTACACCAGATCTCTTCCAGTACTGGAGCTCAACCGTGGCTGAGAAGTTCCCCAGGCTCGCTCGCTTGGCGTTGTGGCTCCTCGCGGTTCCTGCTGTGGGAATGCGCAGCGAGTGTGTGACTGTGTGCGAGCAGAGCCTTGCGATGAAGAAGAGGCAGCAGGTCACTGCTGAAGAGATGAACAAACTGATTTTCCTTCGCTCTAATATGGGTTAGAAGGGAAAACACTAATCAACCAAACCTTCACCCAGCCAATGACTTGAGACTTTTATTTATATATACTGTAGGTTTAGACAAACCGTAAACTTCAATGTGCAAGAAAACCGAGTAGTTCTCAAGGCAGATATTTACAGGAAAAAAGCTCTGCAATGTTTGCATACACAATACAACTAATTCTATATTTTGTGTCAAGCCCAGACTGTTGTACAATACATTGGAACAAGTGGGACACAACGAGGGTGGAACGGTAACTTGGTACTGTTTGGTACGCTGTCCTTGGTTTAGGATGCACATGTAGGCAGGAAGAGCTTCGTCTGATCACAACCAGTGATTTGGATCACTCCAGCCTCGTTCTGAAACTGCTACAAGGCTATCGTGCTGTTATTCTCACTGGTTGGCAACTTTTTCAGGTAAATTCAGCATTTACTGCTTTAAATCTGCTGTCCTACACCTCTGAAAACAAACCTACTTAATCAGAACTATCACAACAGGAAAACTAGCGGCGAACTACTGTAGCATTTGCAGTACATCATCCTTTTTTTTGGTGTATGACAAACAAATAAGGAGTGAAGCATCACTGCCACTGCACCTCTGAAAATAAAGTGCACTAGGTTTATAATTTACATACTCAAATCACTGAAAAATTAAATACTTCTATATACTCAGCTGTGGACAATGGGCAGATAATTTGATTGTTACATTAGTGGCCACAAAATGTAGCGTCAGAGGATTTGCACGCACTGCATGCATTTTGTTCAACTTAAAATGCTTAAAGGTAACTTATGTGTTAGAAATTTTGTGATGTTTTGTTTTGATTTGAAACGACAAAGAAAATTCTAACTTTTTTCTTTTACTACTTGGTGTGCAAGCAAAACTAGGCTTGCACAGTAGAGCTGAAAAGAAATCTTAGTTTTGATGCTGTTACATGTACAAAGAGGAAAGTATCAGTTTGGAAATTGTGCTTAATTTATTGTTTTTGTTTTTGTCATGAAATCATTTAGTCTTGCTGTACCTATAAAACAGGGCAGATTTTACCCATAGAAATTTACATGTAAAGCCGAGTTATTTCAGAGCATTAAGACAATACGATCTAAAATGTTAGTTTACAAACAAATAAGAGACATAATATAGTTACTTTGACTTGCCTATAGACCCCCACAATCGACTTTGACCTCGGGCTTTTCCCCCGGATGCATAAGCGATGCGCAACATAATAAGACGTGGTTACCCCGCGATCTCAACAGGGTGTTCCTTCTTAACAGGGTCATTACAGGCGTTAAACAGCAGTTTTACATGCAGCTGGTCTGCAAATCAACAGAGAATTGTAATATTGCGTAGGATTTGAGCAGTTCACACGATAACAGGAAAGGAGAATGCTGGCAGTATGTATCCAAAAGGTCTGCGGTTTATTTTCTGTTTGGTGTGCCTTTGCCTCGGAGCTTTGGTAGGTAATGGTGTAATATTTTTGTGCTTGTTAAAGGTGCAGTATGTAAGAATAGAAGACAATCCAGAAAGAGTCCAATATTTCAGTCATTTTGGAAGGAAGGTTATACTAAAACATATTTCATATCTAGCTGGCTGTTGGGATTGTCAGTTTTTCTCCTTTCAAAACAAAGGAAGGAGGGACGTAACTACTGTTTACCATCAGTGAGTGTGGGGGTGCCGTGTCTTCTGCAAGCTAATGCTGCCGCGCCGACAGTTGTAATTTGACGACGGCCGGCAAAAAACTCTTGAGTTGTTTAAAGTGGTTGCAGTAAACAAATTTTACCACAGGATGTCATCTTTATGTTGTTGCTACATAATGCACCTTTAAAGAGGAAGTTAAAATATGACCAGTTATTTCTGAGTTAAACATGTGAGCTAAATGTGAAAATAGTCTTCCATCCCTATTTTCTGCATTAGCCACTGATAGAAAATGCAGGGGGTAACGCTCAGATTAGAAAATACAGTTTGATCTATTAGAAATCTGAAAATTAGCATTGAATTCACCCATCTGGGCTCACAACAGGGAACTCTGTTGTTAGTTTAGCATCCAGGAGAGAGCAGAGCATGTGTCGGCTAATCTAAGCTAACTGTTAACATTAGCTAACACGCCAGAACTCCTCCAGGCTTGTGTTATTTGTGGAGATTAAACATCAACGTTGCAGAACAAACAGATCGACTCACAAGGCATTCATTTTACAGTCCATTAAATATGTATTGAAACAAATGAGTGAAGTTGGTCTTTCAGTAACTAATCTGCACGTCTTTTTAAAAGTTGCTGGACGTCTGGACTGACCTGACTTTCTGTCTGGACTGATCTGAACTGCCGTGCTTGATGCATTCTGGAAGCAAAGCACGTGAAAAATAGACTCTGGGTGTAACTGTGGCGGAGTAACGTGACACTATGCTTCCAAGATGCACCGCTTCACACCCATTTAAGACAGCAGCAACTACTAGCTCCGTATTATGCGTTGCCGACATTACACAACACTTATGCATCCGTTGGAAAGCCCGGGTGAGTAGCTTCAGTACATTTTTTCTCATCAGATAAACACTAGTAATATGTTATTTGCAAGACTTTAGTTGATGTCACCATCTTTTAGTGTATTTGTTTATTTATTTATTTTTCAAGCTTGGTTATAAAAAGGCCTGTTTGTAGGAAATATGTTATTTATTGTTGCTTCCTAGTTCATCATTCAGATATAAGCATCGTCTTCCTTACGTAAGCTATAGATTTCCATTTTCAAGGCAATAAGCTTCGTTTCCCAATTTTTCCTGACTGTTCTCACGGCACTTCATAGTTTAATTTCGAACAAGTCTTTTCATAAAATCAATAGGATTTTCTCAGGAAGGAGCGCATCCAAGCGGGCACCGCCACTTTTTCCTCACTGTACCGAAAAGAAACCAAACTGTGACCTCGGATCTTGAGGTAAATGCTTAACCATGGCTTTTGTGATACCTTCCACCACAAATACAGATGGTGCCATTGCAGAGAGAAGAGGAAAAAAAAGAAACGCTGAGATTTTTCAGTTTTCCATCAGTGGAATCACTAAAGTCAGCATATTCATGAAAGCATTTTTTCTATAGATATATTTTGGTAAATATTCACTTGTGCTAATACCTCCTAAAATGGCTTGGAAGAATGGACGCTCTGTTTGTTTGCTGCCTTGGGGATTTGAACTAGCCAGATGCTAGTTTGTTATCTCTGTTTTTGGGCCTTAAGTCTCTTCTATGATCTCACCTGAACCCCTCTCAGTCATCATGCCTTTGTACTGTAAATTAATGGCCTTTTAAAAAATATAATAATAACATTTTTCTTAAGGTTTTGCATCTTCCCCCTCTTCTAGTGTACACTTACAGGGACTTGATGGCTGATATTAGGAAACTGTGACCTCCAGTGGCCGCATGACTACTTATTTTGAATCAAATGTGCTACTTAAACGGCATGTATGCTATATCTCTTAGTTTGTACAACAGGTCAGTAGTTTTATTGCTTAAAACACAAATATTCACTGTAAAAGAATACTAAAATGACTCTTTAGCATTAAATATTGAAATTTGTAGTTATTACACAGTAAAATGTGTGAAAACTGATTTTTTTTACTTTATTTTTACACTGCATGATTATTGCTCTCATCCTTAAAGCTGCAGTGCAGTTGTTTGAACACTTTCTGTTTATATTTATTTTTTAAAGGCAACAAAAAAATATATACAATGCAGCACTTATTTTTCCACATTTTCCAACTTGGGAATATCCATCCATTCTAGTCAGTGTTCATATGGTGGATCCATTTAAATCATTTTTTGTTTTAGTGTCTGTTTGCTAGAGGTGCTTGACTGTTTTCCTTAAATGAACTCATGCTAGCACTCTTTCTACTTTGTTTTCAACATGCATCTCACTATTCAGAGTTTAAAACTGCCGTCTGACCGTCACAGTGATCAGCGATGGAGTTGAGACTTTCTGGAGGCTTTTGTAGGGTTTAGGGTATGGCTGTTTTACTGAAAGTGAATGTAAACTGCACAGAAAACAATAATAATCAAGCTGAAGTGTGAAGTGTAACAGCATTATTGAAAAGCCAAAAAAAATAATAATAAAGGAAATCATATTATGACAGAGCTATTCAATTTCTCTGCTGCAACACACTTGATAGTGTGGTTGAATCACCTGAGCAGCAGCTCTTCAGGCTCTGACGAAGCCTGTTAATCTCCTACTAATTAAAATCAGGTGTGTTGAAGCAGGGTTAAAACCAAAACATGCTGGATACCGGCCCTCGAGGCCCGGAATTGAATAGCTCTGGATTATGGTCTCTGTGAAGTTGAGAATCTTTTTAATCTCACTTTTTGCTTGTAAGAGCATCATAAAAACACTCAAATTTGAAGTTCCATGAATTTTTATTTTATTTTATAGTTTTTGACCTTAGGCCTTCTTACCTCTGATTTTAGTGTTTCATTCATGCTTCTCTCTTCCTTATGGCTTCTTAGAATATCTTGATTTTTTTTAAATATATATATATTTTGGTAAAATAAAAGGGGAAAAAAAGAAATGTATTATAAAGTATATTTAAATTAAAAACTTTCAAGTACAAATCCAATGTTTTACCTCAGAACTCAGAAGGCAGTATTGCTATTAAATGATTGGAATCAGTTTGTCATGGAAAAATGTACGTTTGGTGAGCAAAATGGTCAAAATACTGTCGGTGGCACCTCAATTATACTGATGAAGGGATTATTCTGACGGTTTTTGTTTAACTTTCCTTTTAATTAATAATAGGATATGCTCTGGGACAAAATGCCATAATTGACCCACAAATGTCAACTTCATTTTCTTAGAAATAGCTCTTTTGTTTATTAAATGAAACGTATATCTAAAATATGCATGCTTTTAATAAGATTAGTGATATATAATGTTATAAACCAGTGTTTTTCATCAGATGGAAATGTATCGACTCTGAGATGTTTGAGTCACATGACTGAATTTCTACCTTTGGAGGTGGAAGTAGCTGTTCTGGTCACCGGTTGGTGTTTAAGGCTGGACATCAACCACCTATGAAGGATGTAAATACAGGAGAACTGCTGTTTTTATGCCACAAGGGGGCACCTTCATCTAAGAGATAAAAGTAGGGAGCGCCAATGACATTATACCTCTTTTTTCTACAGTAGCATTTCAGAAAGTTTTGATATAATAGAAAACTCAACTTAGATACTTCAGACTAGAAAACAGCTGTAAGTTTGATTTTGTTTCAGGGTTTTAACTTATTCGGATAACAGTTCAGTTAAGAGTGTGGTAAATGAACGCTAACATGGAGATCTGTTTTAAACTAGTTTAATAATTCAGGTTAAGAACTCGGTGTTGCTTTCATCCTATTTTACAGGCATTTCTTCCTTTTTATACTCTGCTAAAATGGAAAAAAAAACTACAAAAACAACACTTTAGTTTTTCTTCATTTTAGTCTTTTTAATCGCACTTTGGCAGCAGTTTCTTGTGTAGATTCAAATCTTAGTTCTCTTATTAGTAAACCTAATTTATACTTTTGTAGCAACACTATTTTTATATACTGGGACAGAAAAGGTTTGGTCTTTTGTTTTCTTTTTGTTGTTATTTTGTTTTTCCTGTGACATATATGACAGCGCTGTTCAATGTCTCTTGAATACATTACCCACTGTAGTATGTTACGTGTGAATAAACTTTAAATCTGTGTCAAATTGGTTTGTGCAAAGTGTTTTCCTAATGAACACTTAATCCCCTTATTTCTGTAAAATTGCGCATGTGAACTCCCACCCAAAGAGAAGAGTAGCAGCTTTTCACAGTTTTGGAGTTGGAAGGTGGGCCCCATGCTCACAGAGGGAAAACGTGTTTCATATGTAAGGAAAGAGCCACTGAAGGCCAGCGAATATGCAAAGGGCTGCGGATGAAGGGAGTGGAACAGAAGGGATGAAAAAGCAAATGTTTGTGCCAGGGTCAGCGAGTCCCCATGGTACAGGAGTCTGCAGCCATGCAGAAACACCTGCACTCTTTACTAAAGTCTTATTTGCACGTCCACATTTACCTTATTCTAATAGTCTAAACAACACACACTGTCCTGTGTTTCTCCACACCCTATTGCTATAAGTGATGCTTTTCCACCAGCTAAGTTTGTTAAGGGGTTCTGGAGAGGAGGGTCTGTCGGATAGTCGAACTTCAGATTCAGGAGGGATAATGTTTTTGTCCTGGCCGTGGAACACTGGACCAGCTCTATACCCTTGGGGGTTCTGGAGGGTGCATGGTAGTTCGCCCAACTAATCTACATGTGCTTTGTGAATTTGGAGAAGGCGTTCAACTGCGTTCCTCAGGGGGCCCTGTGGGGTTTTCTCCAGGAGTATGGGGTACCAGGCCCTCTGATAAGGGCTGTTAGATCCCTGTATGACTGGTGTCAGAGCTTGGTCCACATTGCTGGCAGTAAGTCGGGCTCGTCTCCTGTGAGAGTTGGACACCACAAAGGCTGCCCCTTGTCACTGATTCTGTTCACTTTTATGGACAGGATTTCTAGGTGCAGCCACGTTGAGGGGATCTGTTTTGGTTGCCTAAGGATCGGGTCTCTGCTTTATGCAGATGATGTGGTCCTGTTGGCTTCATCAGAGCGTGATCTCCGGCTTTTGCTGGAGCAGTTCGCAGCTGAGTGTGAAGCAGCTGGGGGTGAGAATCAGCTCCTCTAAATCTGAGACCATGGTCTTGAGTCGGAAAAGGGTAGAATGCATTCTCCAGTTCAGGGACTAGGTCCTGCCTCAAGAGGAGGAGTTTGTATCCGGGGGACTTGTTCACGAGTGAGGGAAAGATGGATTGCAAGATCAATAGGCAGATTGGTGCTGTGTCTGAAGTGATGCGAGCGTTGTACCGGTCTGTCATGGTGAAGATTTACCGATTTATCACTCAATCTTTGTTCCTACCCCACCTATGGTCATGAGCTTCGGGTAGTGATCGAAAGAAAATTAGATCGCGGATACAAGCAGCTGAAATGAGTTTTCTCTGCAGGGTGTCTGGACTTTCCCTTAGAGATAGGGTGAGAAGCTCGTCATCCGGGACGTACTTGGAGTAGGTCCACTGCTCCTCCACATTGAGAGGCACCAACCAGGAGGAGACTTGAAGAAAGACCCAGGACATGCTGGAAGGACCGTGTTTCTCGGCTTGCCAGGGAAAGCCTTGGGATTCCCCTGGAAGAGCTGGCTCAAGTGTCTGGGGGGAGGGAAGTCTGGGCCTCTGCTCAGGCCACTGCCCCTGTGACCCGACTCTGAATAAGCAGATGAAAATGGATGAAGTTTGTTTTTGCTCAGTTGCTTGCAGGAGCCATTGCTCACTTTCAGTCATTCTGAGAAAAAAGATGTGTAAAAAATAACCTTTTAGACAATTACTTGTGTTCTGCGTTGCAGGGAATCAGCATTTTTTCCTCCAGAAGTTTGGAGGGATATGCTGGGGCTGATATGCAGCTTTTCACACACACACACAGTGGTATTTCTTCTTTTCACTGTTTATGTCTTTATTGGAACTATGATGAATCCACAGCAACAACAACAAATGAAAACATATTGGGGTTTCCTGCTGAATGTCAGACTGTGAACATTAGGTGGCAGTAAATGGCTTTGGATAGGTGGAGAGGTGACCCAACAAGGGCCATGCCAATAAAGTCCAGTAACAAAAACTATGAACTACATCTGTAGGCTACGTCAACTTGCATGGAGATTCTGGAGGTTAGTGTTTTAGGATCAACTAATAACATCCTCTCAGCTCATTATTGACATCTTTGCATTTCTCAGGTGATCACATTTCAGCCAGCTACTGTAAGAAACAAAGTTCTTTTTAACCTTGGCTGTTGCAAAACTACCTCCAGGTTTCATTTTCTGGGCTTGGATCACCTGGTGTTCTCCAGCTTGGCTCTCACCTGTAGCTCCGACAAGGTTACGTCCCTCACTCCTGCCCAACCAATGGCCATCGCAGCTGTCGTGACTTGTCTGCTCAGTGAGCATCAGAGGAACAGGCAAGGGCAGGAGGAAGGAAGTGTTCTTATCTTCCTGTCTTTGTCCTGCGTGGAGAACCGGGTGGCACCGGGACTGAGGTTTCTCCCGCTCTGCAGGTGCTGACTTTTATCTGTAGTGACATGAATGTACAGAACTGCCAGGGCAAATCCACCTCATCGCCATCAGGTGTCGTTATAGCTAATACTCTACCTAGCCCCTGACCTCAAAGGCACCTGGTGCACCTTTCTGTTCTCCTGCCTGCACTAGAAACCTGCACACACACATCCATATGCATGCACACTCACCACACACTGGTCTCACCTAAATTTTTTCCCACAGGAGACCAAAAAAACGAATTTATTTTTTCAAGCTTCTCATGGACGTCCCACAGCCCTGCCTCAGCTCATGGCTACGAATGATCCAATATATGTGATGCATGTGCATGATTATATAATCAGAAGACATAAACCAAACAATGCAGATTACAATGAAGAAAAAAAGTTACAGTTTGGTGTTATTTTTTTATTTTTTGCTTTTAAAAGGGAGTCTATGTCTTCTCTTCAGGTAAGCTCATGGGTCACCTGACCAAAACAAAATGGAGGTGAACGGGGCTATAAGTATTTTCTTATCCACTTTGACTCTCGCCTTGAATCACGCATACTTCAATTTAAATGAAAAATAGTGTGTTTTGACTGTCACTTCATTTATTAGCTTGTAAAAATTCTTAATTAAAATGACTACAAATTACAAGTCGCTTGTATGACATCACTGTTCTCCCCATCGTAGATGCTACTTACCACGTGGCCAGACTAAAGAGTGGTTTTCATCATCTTTTAAAGCTCCTTTCGTTCCAGAAAAGGGATGCGAAGCATGCTAAACTCAGACATTTTTCTTCTTTTTTGTCTCCTTGTGTGGTTTGATGCTGTAAATTTGGTGAAACGAACAGTGTCCACTATGTGTTTCAACACAAAACCTAAGATAACTTACCACCTGTTGAAAATAAGCACTTTCTTGGCATCAAAATGTGTCTTTACAATTCATGGAATTTCAGGATCAGAAAATAGCACGTCACTCCGTAGACTCCCATTCATTTATTTGACAGTATGGGACCCATTGACCAGAAGTAGATGGTTATGACCTAGGCTCCCTATGACAATTTATGCACAAAGGATTTTTTAAAAACTTTAAAACAATAATGGAAGTTCAGCATATAAAGAAGGAGCTCCATGGGAAAATAATTCAGTAAAAAAGTATTGGGATGCATCATATATTGGCATTAGTATAGAACTCATATAAGTCATTTTAAGACGTCTGTATTGGTCCGAGAAGTGTGTGTGTGTGTGTGTGTGTGTGTGTGTGTGTGTGTGTGTGTGTGTGTGTGTGTGTGTAGAAATATAATCACAATATGGGCAAATATCATTTACTGGCCACAGCAGCAATGATTTTGGATATTGACTGACATTTTCACATCGGTGCATCCGTTTAAATTAGTATTATCCATTATATTGGCTTCAGTTCTCTGATTTAATCCACTTAAATCTGCTGAATGCAGAACATTTCTAAAGTTGCTGAAAAATAAAATGAGGTATAGTTTCGACTGATGGTGAGATATAATGAAACAGAGCATTGTCATTACTTCACATGAAAGAAAATTCCAATTATTTGACTTTGTGAGGCATGATGGGAAATGGTTGTCCTGAAAAACCAAGGCAGGTTTAAATTAAGCTTGTTGAGTAAAAATAGCACATCACTGATGGGTAATTCAGTTGAACCATTATTCTTTTTTTATCTTTGTCAAAATCTAAAAAAATGTTATGCATAACTCACGAGCTGGACAAATATTTACCAGATATTTTAAAACTTACCAATTTTGAGTCTTCAGAAAAAGAACTAATATTGTTGCAGCAGCTCCTCTTTGCAACCATTGCAGCTGCAAAGACTCAGTGATTGTATTTTATAAATAAATAAACTTGCTATAGGATCATTTCTGGCCCAATGAGCAACATTTGAATGAAGTTGTAGAGAATTACAGCAAAGTGGTAGAGTTTGAACTCAATCAACTCCTCAATGGGTACACAAACTCTTCCTTCTGTTGCTTACTTATTTATGCACTTTTTTGTGATCCCCCTTCTCCAGTCTTTTGTATCCCCAGTCATTCAGTCAGTTCACCATCTGCTGCTCCTTTCAAACGTTCTTGCAGATGAGTTGTTACACATAGTCCCTTGGGCTGCATTGATGGCTCACTAGACGTACCAGCTACTGCTACAACAAAGTCTATTTAAATCGAGTTCCTAACCTCTTCTTTCATAACTGCAGTTTGTTCTGTGCTGCTTCAAAAGAACATGTCGTTATTTCTCTGCGTGCTCACACAGAGAACACACTTTATTATTTAAATCCTGCAATACTGGCTTGTTATTTATTCATCTTATCAACTCGACACCTGAGAAAATAGCATTTACTCATCTGAAGAATGTCTTTTATATGCTCGGGATTTTTCTGCGGAAGTCTAGATCACCTCAGCTCCACCCATTTGTCTGTTGGTTCAGTGGTTCAATCCAGACCCAGGGTGCACTTCTTTGCTGTTGTCATTCAATTGAAATGGTAGGAAGTGATAAGTTATGACGTCTTATCTCCTTAATTATACAAAGAGGACAAACTGCTGGGGATATTAAAGTTTAGTTCCTCATTAAATGCTCACAAGGTTTAAAAGAAAA